CAGTTGAGCCGAAGGAGTGGCCACCCACTGCACTCCAAAGCCTTGCGCGACAGAGCGAGACTTCATCTCGAAAAAAAAAAAAAAGAAAAGAAAAAAGAAAAAAAAATTTTTAAGTGGCCTTTTCAGAATCTCTGCAGTAAGATAACACACTTGATCAGTAAGGACCTGGGTGCATGGATCTTCAAAAATGAGTTTCTATCTATTAAGGACTTGTGATACATCACACCTTCAGTCATTGCCAAAAACATTCAGCCACAAAATCACTTCAGCCCACCCCTACCTGATTCATGACACCACAGTGGTAATATAGCTGGACTCTGGGATCCTGTCCCCAGAGAACAAAGCCATGGAGCACTTTGCCACTCCCCGCAACTTCCATATTTAATCATCCTCCAATAAGTAAGATCAGCTCACCCTGCGTTTGTGCTTCAGGAGCCTCTTTCCGGGCGACGTTTTCTCGTAATTTTTCCTGAATTTCTTCTAGGTCTTGGAGAATATCTCTGATTCTCCCTGCAGCTGTGTCGGAAATCAACAGCTTTGGAGAAGTCATGGAAAGATCCACCCCAGAAGGAAAAACCTATTGATGAATCATTTAAAACTGAATAAATGGAAGTCCCCTATGCAGTCTATCAACTATTATATTCAAGTTCTTTTATTCATCTATAATTTTCTATGTAATTCCCAGCAAGTTTTTAAAAACAAAATTAGGCCCTCAAAAAATATGCCTTGAAAACAATCTGGAATAATACATAACTACAGCAAAAATATCAAAGAGTGGTTATTTCTGGGTGATGGGGTTATGGAGCATTTTAATTTGCTTTATTTAATGCTATGTGTTTTCTAATATTTTGCACAATAAACATGGATTTCTTAGGTAATACCAAAAAAGTTTTAACATTTTTAGGCACATTTTTTTTTTTTTTTTTTTTTTTTTTTTTTTGAGAACGGATCTCGCTCTGTCATCCAGGCTGGAGTGCAGTGGCGCGGCTCTCCAGCTCACTGCAAGCCTTCCCGCCTCCCGCCATTCTCCTGCCTCAGCCTCCCAAGTAGCTGGGACTGCAGGCGCCCGCCACCTCGCCCGGCTAGTTTTTTATATTTTTTAGTAGAGACGGGGTTTCATCGTGTTAGCCAGGATGGTCTCGATCTTCTGACCTCATGACCCGCCCGTCTCGGCCTCCCAAAGTGCTGGGATTACAGGCTTGAGCCACCGCGCCTGGCCTTTAGGCACATCTTATAGGGGCTTTATAAAATAAATACTACAGATAGTTACTGAGATAAACCATGGAGGTCAGAATAACCTTTTCAGCTGGGTGTGGTGGCTCACACCTATAATCCCAGCTACATGGAGGGTGAGGCAGGAGAATCACTTGAATCTGGAAGGTAGAGGTTGTAGTGAGCTGAGAAGATCATGCCACTGCACTACAGCCTGGGCGACAGAGTGAGATTCCATTTCAAAAAAAAAAAAAAAAAAGTTTTCCCACCTCTATCATTATATCATGTCGCTTCCCAAGAGCTACCTCTCAAATTGCCTGCATCTAGGTCCTGCTTGCTGGGGCCTCCAACACATGCTCCCTGATTTTCTTTAGCCTCAGGTCCTGTTCTTCCCCAATACAGCCCTTTATCTGCTTACCAACTTCAACCCCTGACTTTCCTTCCCACCTTTGCATAATCTACTCCCCATTCTTTCCACCAATCAAAATATGGTAGTATTACACTTATTGAGTGTCTTCTACATGCTAGGTATTGCCCTTCTCTCATTTGCATAACAACCTCACAAAGTAGGTTTAGCAACCTGTAAAGAATCTCCATTTTACAAAAGAAGATTAAGTTCATGAAGGTTAACTAAATTGCCACAGTGAATTATAACATCCCACATTTTAACACTGCTCAAGCACTTTTTTATACCTCTTTTAATCCTCACAATAAACCAATGATGTGGCAGGCCCTGTATCATTATTTCTATATTACAGATAGGAACCTGAGACGCAGATGGATGAAGTGACTTGCCCAAGGTCCTAATACTAGTGAATGACAATGTCAAGTCTGAAAGTCAGACTTTCCTTTTTTTTTTCTGAGACGGAGTTTCACTCTGTTTCCCAGGCTGGAGTGCAGTGGCGCGATCTCGGCTCACTGTAAACTCCGCTTCCCAGGTTCACGCCATTCTGCTGCCTCAGCCTCCTTAGTAGCTGGGACTACAGGTGCCCACCACCACGCCCAGCTAATTTTTTGTATTTTTAGTAGAGACAGGGTTTCACCACGTTAGCCAGGATGGTCTCAATCTCCTGACCTTGTGATTTGCCCGTCTCGGCCTCCAAAGTGCTGGGATCACAGGCGTGAGCCACCGCGCCCGGCCGGACTCTCAGACTTTCTATCCCAACACGTCGCATCTCTGAAGATGCATTTATTCACACATTCAGTGGGTATTTGTTGAGCCCCTACTATAAGTGGGTACTTGGGTACTGTGCTAGTGCCTGGGGACACAATGGTGGACAAAAGAACAAAAGCATCAGCCAGGCGCAGTGGCGCACACCTGTAATCCCAGCACTTTGGGAGGCTGAGGCAGGTGGATCACAAGGTCGGGAGTTTGAGGCCAGCCTGGCCAGTATGGTGAAACCCCATCTCTACTAAAAATACAAAAATTAGCCAGGCGTGGTGGCGGGCACCTGTAGTACAAGCTACTCGGGAGGCTGAGGCAAGAGAATCACTTGAAGCTGGGAGGCGGAGGTTGCAATGAGCTGAGATGGTACCACTGCACTCCAGCCTGGCAACAGAGCAAGACTCTGTCTCAAAAAAAAAAAAAAAAAAAAAAAACATCAAAAGTCCCTATTCTCATGAAGTAGAGGGGAGGGGGACAGACATTAATATAGAGTATGGCACAAGTCATTACAAAGGTGCAATGGTGATAACTACTACAAATGAAAGGTACATGGAGTCCTCAGAGCCTCTAATGGGGGGATTTGATTTGTTTAAGGAAATCAGTGAAGGCTTCTCTCTGAAGAAATGATGTTCTAGCTAGGATCTGAAGGATGAGCAAGTATTACCTAAGTGATGGAGGAAAAGGAGAGCATTCCATGAAGGGTGCCCTGTAGTGGGAAGACGCGAGACACATTGGAGGGACTGTGCAGAGAGTGCAGCTGGAGTTCACAGAGCCAGGCGGCATGAGCAGAGATGAGATTTGAGAGGCAGACAGAGATGGAATCCTACAGGGCTTTGTTGGTCCTGTGAGGATTTGGGTCTTACTCCTGAGCAAACTGATGTAATTTGAATGTTTTAAGCAGATGAGTTACATTTTCAGATTGATGTTTGTGGTAGTCACTGTGATGACCGTGAGGAAAACAGACTAGAAGAGGGAGAGTGGAGCATTTGGAAGGCTATGACAGCAATCCAGGCATAAAATTATCAGAGGCTGGGATTAGAGAAGTCTCAAAGGAGCTCAAGAATAAGTAAATAGATTTGAGAGGTAATTAGGCAGGTCTTAAAGCTACAGTATGCTGCATATTAGGGTAAGGGAGAAGAAGGTAACATGATTTCCAGGTCTCTGGCTTGTGTACTTGGAAAGATAATGGGGCCAGTATTGAGACAAAAATCCCAGAAAAGGAGCAGCTTAGGACACGTTAAGTGTGATGCTTTGAGATACCCAAGAAGAAAAGAAGAGAAGGAAGACATAGCAGCCTAGTGCTCAGAGAAGGCTCCAGCCTGGAGCTATTATTTTTGCATAGAGGTGGTCATTAAAGCCATGGATACAGGGAGGACTACCTGGAGGGGAGATAAAGGGACTTACAACTCAGCCTTGAGGAAGTCCAGCATTTAATTCCTGAGCAGAGGAGAGACAGCCTGTAAACAGACTGAGAAGGATCAGCCAGAGAGAGGTGGGGGAAAGCCAAAAGACTCCTGTCCCAAAAGCTAAGAATGAAGGTGTGGTCCACTGTGTCAAAGGCTACTGAAAGGTCAATGAAGACAGGCACCAGAATGTCTATAGGATTTACACAGAGGTCATTGGTGATCTTAGAGATAGCTGGTTAGGTGGAGTGACCCTAGCCCACTTGAAGCTTCCCAACATTACCTCAAGCATCCCAAATGTCCAATCATCCATGTCTGGTAGTAAAGAGAACAATAAAAGATTGAGACTTGTTGCTTCAGCTTCAAACATATTCATGTTGTTCCAGTTGAAAGCAATCCCCAGCCCTATTCCCTCCCACATCCTTTCCTCTCCCAGTGGAGCCTACCTTGCCCAGGATGCTCAGTTCATTGTCTGGTCCAGATTCTGATAGGGGCCTCTGATTCTGCAGGCTCCTGACAATGTCTACAAGATGTTCCACCAGCTCTGTCAGCTCCTGACCAACTTCTGTGATGCTCTTCTCTACTGCCACCTTTAAAACAGCAAAGTTCAGATCCTGGGTTCTATAAAATTGGACCCAGGAACCACCACTAGACAGAGGGAGTCATAAATACTGTAGTAATGACATAAAAACAGACACACAGACCAATGGAATAGAACAGAGTACCCAGAAATAAACTCTCACATATACAGTTAAATGATTTTTGACAAAGATGCCAAGACCATTCAACGGGGAAAGGACAGTTTTTTCAACAAATTGTACTGTGAAAATTGGATATATCTATATGCAAAAGAATATGGTTGGACCCTTACCTAACATCATATACAAAAACTAACTCAAAATGGAACAAAGACCTAAATGTAAGACCTAAAATAATACAAGTCTTAGAAAAAAATATAGGGCAAAATTTATGACATTGGATTTGGCAATGATTTATTGTATATGACACTAAAAGCACACACAACGAAAGAAAAAAGGAGGCTGGGTGCGGTGGCTCACGCCGGTAACCCCAGCACTTTGGGAGGCCGAGGTGGGTAGATAACGAGGTCAGGAGATCGAGACCATCCTGGCTAACACGGTGAAACCCGTCTCTACTAAAAATACAAAACACTAGCCGGGCGTAGTGGCAGGCTCCTGTAGTCCCAGCTACTCAGGAGGCTGAGGCAGGAGAATGGCGTGAACCCGGAAGGCAGAGCTTTCAGTGAGCTGAGATGGAGCCGCTGCACTCCAGCCTGGGAGACAGCAAGGCTCCGTCTCAAAAAAAAAAAGAAAGAAAGAAAAAAAGAGACAAACTGGACTGCATGAAATGTTTAAACATTTGTGCATCAAAAGACACTAACAAAAGAGTAAAAAGGCAATCCACAAAATGGAGAAAATATTTGCAAATCATACATCTGATAAGGCATTAATACCGAGAATATACAGAGAATTTCTAAAACCAACAATGAAAACATATCACTGCCGCTTGCTTGGTTGGTAAAACAAACAAACAAGGAAAAACCCAAAAACAACTGAATTTTGAAATGGGCAAAGAACTTGAATAGACATTTCTCCAAAGAAGATATACAAATCACCAATAAGCACATGAATAGACACTCAAGATCACTAATCAGTAGGGAAATGCAAATCAAAACATACAGTGAGATACCACTTCACACTCACTAGGTTGGCTACTATCAAAAAAAAAAAAAACCAGAAAATAACAAATGTTGATGGTGTGGGAAGATTGGAACCCTCTGCACTGTTGGTGGGAATGATATATGGTACAGCCACTATGGAAGACAGAATGGTGGTTGCTCAAAATATTAAAAATAGGCTGGGTGCAGTAGCTCATGGCTGTAATCCCAGCACTTTGGGAGGCTGAGGCGGGAGGATCACCTGAGGTCAAGAGTTCAAGATCATCCTGGCCAACTTAGTGAAACCCCATCTCTACTAAAAATACAAAAATTAGCCAGGCGTGGTGGTGGGCATCTGTAATCCCAGCTACTTGGGAGGCTGAAGCAAGAAAATCGCTTGAACCCAGGAGATGGAGGTTGTAGTGAGCCGAGATCATGCCACTGCACTCAGGCCTGCGTGACAGAGCCATCTCAAAAATACATATACATATATATATTTTTTTTATTATTATTTATATATATATTTTCCAGGTCACATTAAGTGTGATGCTTTGAGATACCCAAGAAGAAAAGATGAGAAGGAAGACATAGCAGCCTAGTGCTCAGAGAAGGCTCCAGCCTGGAGCTATTATTTGTGCATAGAGGTGGTCATTAAAGCCATGGATACAGGGAGGACTACCCGGAGGGGAGATAAAGGGACTTACAATTCAGCCTTGAGGAAGTCCAGCATTTAATTCCTGAGCAGACGAGAGACAGCCTGTAAACAGACTGAGAAGGATCAGCCAGAGAGAGGTGGGGGAAAGCCAAAAGACTCCTGTCCCAAAAGCTAAGAATGAAGGTGTGGTCCACTGTGTCAAAGGCTACTGAAAGGTCAATGAAGACAGGCACCAGAATGTCCATAGGATTTACATAGAGTTTACATAGAGGTCACTGGTGATCTTAGAGATAGCTGGCTAGGTGGAATGATCCTATATATAGTGATCCTATATATATATATATATATATATAAGAATTACCATACGATTTAGCAATTCAACTTCTGGATATATAAGAATTGAAAACAGGATCTCAAAAAGCTTCATAAACTGATGTCCATAGCAGCATTATTCCCACTAGCTAAAACATGGAAGCAACCCAAGTGTCTGCAGACAAATGAATAAGCAAAAAGCGGCATACACGTAGAATAGAATATTACTCAGCCTTAAAAAGGAAGGGAACTCTGACATATGCTACAACATAAATAACCCTCGAAGACATTATGCTAAGTGAAATAAGCCAGTCACAAAAACACAGATACTGTATGATTCAACTTATATGAGGTATTTTGAGTAGTACAAATCAGAGACAGAAATTAGAATGATGGTTGCCACAGGCTGGGGGAAGAGGAAATGGAGAATTTTAATGTGCTCCTAGAATTCCACTTTTGCAAGATGAAAAGAGTTATGGTACCCTGAAGAGCCAGTCATGTTAATTTAACATTTTTTAGTTATGGAAATGATGGTAGTGATGGTTTCACAACATTATGAATGTATTTCATATCACCCAACTGTATACTTAAAAATGGTTTAGGGCCAGAGAGAAGTGGGGGAAAGCCAGAAGACTTAAGGGTGGAAAGAGGCAGAGCAAGATAGCCAAATAGAAGGCTCCATTGAGCATCCCTCCCACAAGAACACCAAATTTAACAACTACACAAAAAAGCACCTTCATAAGAACCAGAAATCAGGGGTACTCACAGTACCTGGTTTTAACTTTACATATAGAAAGAGGCACTGAAGAGGGTAGGAAAAACAGTCTTGAATTACCAATGCCATCCATATCCCATGTGGCAGGGGCAACACGGCACAGAGAATCTGTGCACTCGGGAAAGGGAGAGCATGGTGATAAAAAGAATAGAGAGACTTTGCCTTGTCACATCACAAAGCAAAACTGGGCTGAACTCCGCTGACGCCTACCCACAGCGGGAGCATTTAGATCAGTCCTAGCCAGAGAGGAATCAAATCACCCACTCCAGTGATTGGAACCTGAGTTCTGGCAAGCCTCTCCACTGTCGGCTGAAGTGCTCTGGGGCTCTAAATAAACTTGAATGGCAGGCTAGGCCACAAGGACTGCAACTCCTAGGCAAGTCCCTAGTGTTGAGATGGGTCTCTGGACTCGCCCAGAGCCTGGATGAATGTGCCACCATGAAGGGAAGGACACAAGCCTGGCTGGCTTTGCCATCTGCTGATTATAGAGCCCTAGGTCCTTAAGTGAATATAGGTAGTAGCCAGATAGTGGTTACAAAGGGGCTTGGGTGAGACACAGTGCTGTGCTGGCTTTAGGTCTGACCCCGTGCAGTCCTAGTGGTCATGGCCACAAGGTGCTTGCGTCAGCCCACCTCCAGCTCCAGGCAGCTTAGCACACACACACACTGTTTTGGAGAAGTACGAGAAGAGAACAAGAATCTCTGCCTGGTAATCCAGAGAATTCTTCTGGATCTTATACAAGACCACCAAGGTGGCACCTCTAGTAGTCTGCAAGAGTCACAGCTTTACTGGGCTTGGGGTGCCCCCTAATGCAGATACAGATCACAACACCGAAGTCCTTTCAAATACCTGGAAAGCCTTCCCAAGAAGGACAGGTGCAAACAAGCCCAGACTGTGAAGACTACAATAAATAACTCTTCAATGCCCAGGCACTGACAAACATCCACAAGCATCAAGACCATTCAGGAAAACATGACCCCACCAAACTAAGTAAGTCACCAAGAACCAATTCGGGAGAAACAGAGATATGTGACCTTTCAGATAGATAATTCAAAATAGCTGTTTTAAGAAAACTCGAGGAATTTCAAGATAACAGAGAAGGAATTCAGAATTCTATCAGATAAATTTTAAATAATTGAAATAATTAAAAAGAATCAAGCAGAAATTCTGGAATCCAGAAATGCAACTGACATACTGAAGAATGCATCGGAGTCTGCATCAATAGCAAAATTGATCAAGTATTAGAAAGAATTAGTGAGCTTGAATTCAGGCTATTAGAAAATACACAGTAAGGGCTGGCGCAGTGGCTCACACCTGTAATCCCAGCACTTTGGGAGGCCAAGGCAGGCGGATCACAAGGTCAGGAGATCGAGACCACAGTGAAACCCCATCTCTACTAAAAATACAAAAAATTAGCTGGGCGCGGTAGCAGGTGCCTGTAGTCCCAGCTACTCAGGAGGCTGAGGCAGGAGAATGGCATGAAACCAGGAGGCGGAGCTTGCAGTGAGCCGAGATTGCGCCACTGCACTCCAGCCTAGGCAACAGAGCAAGACTCTGTCTCAAAAATAAATACATAAATAAAATAAAAATAATAAAAAAAGAAAATACACCGTAAGAGGAGACAAAAGAAATAAGAAAAAAAAAAAAAAGAGAATGAAACATGCCTACAAGATCTAGAAAATAGCCTCAAAGGGGCAAATCTAAAAATTATTGGCCTTAAGAGGAGGTAGAGAAAGAAATAGTGGTAGAAAGTTTATTCAAAGAAATAATAGCACAGAACTTCCCAAATCTAGAGAAAGACATCAATATCTACATACAAGAAAGTTATAGAACACCAAGCAGATTCAACCCAAAGAAGACTACATGAAGGCATTTAATAATAAAACTCCCAAAGGTTAAGGATAACGAAAGGATCCTAAAGCAGCAAGAGAAAATAAATAATATATAATGGAGTTCCAATACATCTGAAGGTAGACCTTTCAGTGGAAACCTTATAGGCCAGGAGAGAGTGGCATGACATGTAAAGTGCTGAAGGAAAAAACTTTTACCCTAGAAAACTATAATTTGTGAAACTAGCTTTGAAACATGAAGGAGAAATACTCTCCCAGACAAACAAAAGCTGAGGGATTTTATCAACACCAGACCTGTCCTACAAGAAATGGTAAAGGGAATA